TGGTGCTTTCTGAACTTTCAGAGCCAGTCATACCAGATTGGAAGTCAGTGTAAGCGAACATATATTTTCGATAATTCCCCATCAGGGTTCTACAGCCCGGGTGATGTGGCTTCACTCGCTCGGATAGACGCTTTTTCGTATGACCAATGTATTCTGCTCCACAGGAGAAGGAAAAAGAAAAAAATACACATTGGACTGGAGTGGACAGGAATCTTATCCTTTGAGTTCAGTCTCACCATCGGAGTGCTAGTGAACAGGATTTGCATTCGTGCTGCGAGGTAGGTACATTTGAGTGCACGCGAAAGACGACGAAGTAGAAGTTTCGTCGAAACTTTGCCCTTGCATTGAAGCTGTAGGAAGATCGGCTTAAGTTCTACTGTCAATACTAGGGGCTGTGTGCGCTTCTGTTGCATGTTAGTTCTAATGAAACTTTCGGAGAAGCCATTCTCCCTCAGCACCAAACGAATGCACACCAATTCCTCGGGAAACATGTCTGCCGAGCAAATTTTTTCAGCTCCTCTTACTAGGGTATGGATAAGATTCCTGTTACACCGTAAAGAAGTAGAAACTTGTACTGTCCAGTCCACGTGCACTTCATATACAAGCGACATTGCAGTGCATTTCCATCAACTCTTCTCAAAGCAACGTCTAGGAAATGAAAGAGGCTGTTTTTCTCCACTTCGTGGGTAAACTTCATTGCTGGGTGGCACTGGTTGAAGGTGTTTATTAGCTCATCAATACTTCGCGAGGCTTGAAGTAAAATGAAAGATGTCATCCACATACCGGCAATATAGACTCTTAGTAGCGCATTGCCAAACGCGCTGCCTTGCAGACAGGCAACCTGACAGTATCCTGCCCACACAATACAATGAAACTGCCATTAAACAATTTCCTGATACTCTGGTCGTCGTACAGGATAATAAACGGCGCTCTTGCTGCTTCATCGAGCAGGGTGGATAGGGTTCCGGATGCTATTGCTCAAGCGTTCCCGCCTTCTTATCACCCTCTTACGCTTTTTCCCCCTTATCGTCCAACTGCAATTTCACTTTTATCTCCTCCCTTTCCAACTCTCCGATTCTTTGCTCTCCCCCACCTTGCTTCAATAGGCGTTTATCTTCAAGTTTCAAGTAACATGCAAACGCAAAGCGTCACTCCTACCCTGTCCACAATCCCATGTTCTATCAAGCGGTCCACCCCAGTTCATCGGCTTCCATTGGGAGCCCTCGATCCTGCTTCAGATTGGCGTGCCTCAATGTAAACACATTGCTACAGATCGGTCAACAGGCAGCACTCGCCCGAAAATTAGATACCCTCTCGATCGATATCTGCTCCCTATCGGAAACCCGCCTACAAGACTCGAGCTCTGTGTTCACTTTGCGATCCCCTTCAGGTGATACCAGCAGCACTTTCTCGTTGCGCCTGTGCGGTGACGATGCGATTTCGAGCACCAGCCAAGCCAATGTTGGTACTGCCCGGAGTACTCGGCCTGAAGGTGCTCTGTTTGGTTGGATCCCAATCAGTAGGCGGATGTGTGCAGTTCGACTGGCTGGCTCGTTGAAGACCTCGAAGTCCCGCAGGACTGATGGGTGTTTATTTGTCATCGCGGCCCACAAAGTCGAGCGATGATTCGGTAAAAGACGACTTGTACCGCCAACAGAACTTGCTGCTTCGCCACAGACGAAGTAAGGACACAGTTGTGCTGACTGAGGATCTGAATGTTCAAGTTGGGAAATTATCCACCAATGAACTGCACCTTAGCAGCCAACACGGTGTAGGTTCCCGTAATGATAACACTGCGCGGTTACTTCATTTGTGCGAAGATGCCCGTTTATTTCTTGCCGACACAATGCAGTAAAACCTTCAGTAAACAATTGCTTGATGCGCTGGTCGTCGCAGAGGGTAATAAACGGCGCCCTAGCTGATGCATCCAGCAGAGTGGATAGGGGTTTGGATGCTACTGCTCAAGCATCCCGTCTTTTTATTCTCCCTCTTACGCTTTTTCACCCTTATCGTCCAGTTCCAACTTCACTTTTATCCCCCACGTATACAACCTCCCATTATGATTTGACAGGCGTTTAGCTTCTAGTTTCAAAACTCATGCAAACGCGGAGTGTCGCTCCTGCCCTATCGACAAGCCCATGTCTAACCATGCGGTCAAACACAACTCATCGCCTTTAAATTTGGAGCCCTCGATCTTCCCTCAGAGTGGCATGCTTTAACCCAGCGACTCCCGCGAAATGCGTTGTTTACGCGTCGGGCGTGTGAATGGAAGAAGAGAGGCAGCCAAGCGATGACTTGGTCGAGAGGAATGAAAGCTCTGTCTTCGATGTAAGCCTCGGTTAGAGAATCTTGACACCCTGGTTGGGGTCCGAAAGACGATGAACACGTTTGGTTGGAACACACTTGCTGATATGGCTAGGCGCCGACCTCAGTGGCGTTCGTGACTGTGAGTTTCCTTGTCCAGTTCCCATGCTTCTTAGCCTCCTCTAACCACGATCTTATTATTTAGCATTACATAATTTTGCATAGTAATCTCTTTGCTGAATAGTAGCCGGCTAGTATATTTCGGAAACGATGCACATCCGTTAGCGGTTGCTCAACTGGCATGCATTTGTTGCATGATTTTGTTTCTATTTTTCTTTGAGACACAGTACCTGAGGTGTTTTCCACCTCTAGCTAACGTGTATAATGTATGAATGAATGAACATCGCAGTGTTGGGAAAGACAAAGAAGCACCAATTGCCCCGGATGTGGTCCTAGTGATCATATCAACATTCATACTACATGTTAGCTGGAGGTGCGGGACACCTCAACTACTGTGCCGCAATACATAGAAAAATGGAGAAAAAACCAACTGGTGCAAGCTGGCTGAGTTACCGGTGACGAATGGGCATCGTTCCGGTAAGCTACCAGCCGGCTGCTGTGCGCCAAAAAAATTACTATGCAAAATTAAATTAGGCTAAATAATGAGATCGTGGTTGGAGGGGAGGCTAAGAGCGATGGGGTGGGACAAAGAAACTCACAGCACGAACGCCACCGAGGTCAGCTCCTAGCCATATCAGCAAGTGTGTCCAACCAGACGTGTTCATCGTCTTTCGGACCCCAACCAGGGAGCCGAGACACTCCAAATGAGGCCAGCTCAGAAGTGAGGGGCCTTCATTGATGTTGACCAAGTCATCGCTTGGCCACCTCTCCTCTTCTTCCATGCACACCGCCGGGCGCGCAAACAACGCACCCCGCAAGAGCCGGTGGCCTGGCATGCGTAACACGTGGCCGGGTCGTCGGAGCCTGGGGCGTGATATAACGGTGCTGAGCGGTTCATTTCCTTTCCCTGTGCCGTAAACAAGGCGTCGAACACGTTCGTTGCTCACGCGGTGTTCCCACCAGATGTGAGCTAAACTGTGAAGGCACCGGTGGTCGAACGTAACTAGCCTCTTCAGGTCCGCTGCTCTAAGCGGCCAGGTTTCACAACCGTACAGTAGGGTCGAACGTACCGCTGCATTGTACACTCTACCCTTCAGGGCAAGAGTGATGTCGCGCCGGCGCCATAAGTGGCGAAGGTTAGCAAAAGCGCCTCGAGCTTTTGCTATACGGTTCGTGATCTCATCTTCAATCCCACGGGCACTGATACAACTTCCCAGGTAGTTGAATTTTTGAACGACTTCTAGCTGATCCCCACCAAGGGTCAGCGAAGGAGGCGGTCCAGACCAATCTTGGAGGAACGCTTTGCACTTCGAGGGTGAGAAGCAAAACCCGAAGTGACGGACAGCTAGTGCTAATCTGTCCAGTGCGCTTGGCACGTTTGTGAGCTGTCACAGATAAGGGCAATATAGTCAGCATACTCGAAGTCAAAAGTCGTTCTCCTGGGAGCAGATCCAGACCTTATAAGTCTGTCCTGTAACGCGAATTCCATGACTTCGTCAACAGCGAAGATGAAGAGGAAAGGTGACAGCGCGCATACTTGTCTCACGCCGCTGGAGATATTAAAGGGGCTGACGACAACTTGCCGTAAGCCCTCACTCTGCCTGAGCGTCGCGCATATATATGCGCGGATTAAGATTCACGATAGTTGCTCATGTACACACCTTGCTCTGAGTAGACAGTCCCAAAGTGAATGTGCTATCCACTGAGTCGAATGCAACCGTTGGATATCGAGGAACACGACTATCGGACGGGCCCGCGCAATATGTGTGAGCGGTGCTCCAAAAGCTGACGCAAAGGTGAGAAGTGTGTCTAATGCTGCTACGTCCTCGACGAAATACAGCTGTGCGCTCACGAAGCTTGAGCTTTCACGTGTGAGCCAGTCATCTGTGAAGGATGACAGAGGCAAGCAATTTGGAGGCAATAGGAGATCAGACTGATTCCTCTATGGTTGCCGCATTTCCGATCGTGAGCCTCCCTTGAAAATTGGGCACTATGACGGTTGGGTCAGTTTCCTGCTCCACAGTTTGACTGAGTAAACTCGTATAAATCTTCCACAAGAGCAGGTCTCCCCCGAATTTGAAAGAGGGCTGGCGAAAGGTCATCAGGTCCCGCGGCTTTGTTCCAGTGATAGAAATTGTCGAAGTCCACTTCAAAGTAAACTGCAGCCACAATTGAGACTGCGTGCAGCAAACCACGTACACATGGAAGGTATTCCGAAATTCAGCAACAAAGAGAGCATTTTAGGTGCCCTGTCGCGCCACAGGTCGCGGGTAATGTGTGTTATCGCATCCCTATCTGGAATTCACAAAGGACCTTCAGTGTCCCATTTTTGTTCAACATTCTCGTCAAGTTTTCCTCGCGATGCATGCATCGACGTTCTGTAAGACAACCGTAATGCAGCACATCGCTAGTCTCCAACAAGTTCCCCAGAGTGGTCCCATCTAGTACCGCCCAAGTTGTGCCTTTAAAGTGTAAAATGAAGTCGTAAAACCATCAGCTAACATTGTAACCAGATCCGAAACGGCGTTAAACTGTAGACAACTAATCAGCTCCCATGGGTTGACAATTGCATTCGAATGATGGACGCATGGACGCAGAAGTAAGTTCACATGCTATAAAATGCATAAACGTGATGCCTCAAGCGCCATAACGAGAATCTTCACCTTTGAGTTCGTGAGTGGTATCCTGCTCTGTGGTAAAGACAGCTGCTTTGGTCCGAGGAGATGAGGTGCATACAAGTCACTGACCATCGTTAACCGTAGAGCACTACCGGCGTCGGATGGCAGTAGGGTATTCACAAGAACAGAGTGCAAGGCAAGGCTAGCAATTTATAGCACCAAACAGTACTGAACAAGTTCCGCTGCCACTGGCATGTGTTACGTGGCTGGTCACCGACTGCGGAGGAGGACCTTGTTTTCTTTCACGGAAGTCAAATGTTGCAAGACTCAAAGTGGGTAAAAGTTGACTTAGCATTAAGAAGTGAAGTCGGTGGCGAGTAAAATGATCGCAGTTTGACTGTCCCCCGTTCCAGATCTATCTTGCGATTACCTTGAGATTTCAGAAAATAGGAAAAGAAGGCATAAGCAGTGCTCCGACCAACTGTAACAACACTTCTCGTCGCAAGGAGACTGGACCTTAATGTGTTGCGACGGTTTGGGTAATTCTTCGACCAATTAAGCTATACTGGGTGGTGCCAGCGGGCCCCTAGAGAGATATTCCTACCAGGTTGGTCAATGGTCTCTCGATCCTACATGTTGGAAGTTTAAAATAGAATGGCGTTTAGTACAATAAAAAATCATTACTACCCTGCTGTCTTGTGGATAGGCTTTTCAGCCAAAAGTTTTCGTTGAAGACCTTAATCGTATACGTGTCTAGGTCTGGGCAGTATCTCGGCCCACGTACAACTATGACTATTTCTTGCAACTTCAACCACAACCTACATAGGTCGTAGCGCAGATTATCAACGATCGCTTTATCTGCTGCCTACATAGGACGAAGAAGTGAAAACATGCTACTGCTGGCACCTCCCTGCTTGCTTTTCTCACTGTTTCCTATCCCCCTCCAAACCCCCATCACTAACCTACCTTCTACAGTTCCCCAGCTTAATGGACAGCAGCCGTAATGTCACTGGAGTCGAACCATCTGCAGCTACTTTCTCGCACCACCCAATGGAGGCCTTTCAGCAACAGTCCCATATTAGGCCACGCTGTCCCGTTTCCCTGGCGGCGTTCAACGTCCGCACTCGAAGACAAATAGGCAAACAGTCTGCATTCGCACGCACGTTGGACAAACGTATGAGGTATCCGAAAATAAAATCAATAAGCCTCACGGAGTTGCTGATTTATATACGCACGGCTTGTCCCCCCGCTATTGGTTGCACGCATCCGGAGAAGCTGATGTGGCAATCACCGGTCAGGCTGGGGTAGGAATCGTTCTGCTCCAAGGCTGAGGCATCGTTGCTTGATTGGATTCCCGCAAGCAGCCGTTAGTGTGCGGCCCGTTTGAAGACATTTAATAAAACTGATTCACGAAGTAGTACAAGACGCCGTATGTTTGTGGTTTCCGTTTACGCCACCAGCGATTGCAGTTCTGATGCTGGCAAGGACACATTGTACTAGGAACTGAACACGTTGCATTGCGATGTTACCAGTTCAGATGCCGTTGTTATTGCAGGGGATGTGAATGTGAAAGTGGGTCGTCTGAGCTCTTCAAAAGCTCAGCTAAGTGGTAGGTATGGACATA